TGCTTTGACTTCTTGGGCAGCATTCCAATATCGTTTGCTGCAATTTCATCGTCTTAGATCTGATCCTCTATCTTCTTTGCGTCTCCTGTGTGTAACACAGAATATTTCGCGATAATATATAATATATTTTCCGGATGAAGTTATTTTTGCCCGTACACGAACTCGAGATGTTAAGCGAACTCAAAACATGGGAGTACGTCATATGATACAATTGTTACGTGATGCTTCGTAGATTTTGCAGGGCAATTCTACACAGCCGGGTTCCAAAAGAGACATGACGAAGACTTCGTCAAGATGAAGGCAGTCTTTATTCATAAGAATTATTAAAAGTCAATTTGCTTTCATTAGATAAGGATTTTTCTCTACACCCTAAACAATTAATAAGATTAAAAAACCGCGACCCTATTGTTCCCACTTTGCAATTACTTCTTCAAAATCTATTTGTACTCTATAAACGTTCATGTTGACACTTTCCGTGCACTCGTTCCCTTTAATATCATTCTCAATTCGCTTGACGATCTCTTGAATGTCTTCTATTCTAATACCCTCTTTTAATAAAGCAAATAAAAATCCCCCTCCCCCTGCGCCACACAAAGCCAGGCCATGACTAAGAGGGTTAAGGGATGCCAAGAGTGCTGGGATAGTCGGCGGTTCGTTATTCGGAGAAGAAAGAAAGTGTTTCAAGGAATGGTACGATGAGAGATAAGTGCCGATTTTTGTGAGGGATTCTGGGAGGAATGAGAAATTGGATGAGAATGTAATAAACATCTCACATACTATTAATCCGGCGATATATTCCTGCACCATTCCCGACGCTTACCACTTCTCAGTCCCTCGACAACGCTTTCAGCCTCGCGAGTCAATTGATCGAAAACTTTCACTAAATCTGCATCTCTGACCCTCCATCTCTCAATCACGGTATTCAATAAATTCTTCGCTAGACGACTTTTCCCTGTGTATATCAAGACCAACCGAGATTCGAATGTTTGCAGAAATGACGGCGATATTGGAATTTGGGTCCACGATACCTGTGAAAAGAGAACGTTGTGGAATGAAAACGTAATGAACTGACCAGTTGATCGTTTGTGTAGGATGCATGCAACCATTGGGAATGAACTTACCGTCAAAGGAGCTTTAGCTTCTGAATATCCATATTTTATTCCAGGGATCAATCCTCCGACTTGATCTAAGCAAATGATTGATTGATTGTCATATATTGTTGCATTTTAATCCTTATGCCATTCCTTATATTATACCTTGCCATCCACCGCCTGTCGGAAAAAGAATAAAACGAATCATCAGCCGAGCTACTTGCTAACTTTTTTGATTGAGACACGGGGACTTTTTACTTACCGGTCGTCATCATCTGTTCCACTTTCAACACGGCATAGATTAAACTTTCGGAATCATATACTCTGCCGCGTAATGCAGCCAGAGCTATCAGTAGCGTGCCAGCGAGAATGCTGCTCACTCCTAAGCCTATTGATAATTACATGCTTATATTAAACATTTCAATAGTAAAATTAACCACTTTTTCCACGAACCTACCACTTCCTTGCGGCACATCTGACCTAGCGACAATTTCGACACCTCCCCCAAATTTCTCTAATTGTTCGTTCAAATCTCCCGTTTCACAAATAACCTCTGAACAAATCAAACATGCTTTAAGCAGAGCAAAACGGGTTGTCGGGTCCGAATACGTTAGGATTTCAGAAAGAGATGTTATTGTTTGGGAATTATAGGATGACAATCCCGACGTTGTCAGGATGATTTCGCGACTTTTTCGGATAAAACAAGAAGATAAGCGAACATGACAGTTACATAAAGATAATAGTTCGGGTTTTTCGGGCAAAATAGTCACCTTGATATACGTCGTGCTTTTGCGCATAGAGGTCGCTTTGTTTTGTCTCGAGTTAGTATGGTCACGTTTGCATTCGCGCTGTTCAAAATGATTTGTGATATATTGACCAACCTTGCCGTCAATCTACCGGATAGCACAACATACAGTATTTCAATCGTTCTTATCCGCTTAAATAATCATCGTACTTGTCGCAATAGACAAATTTGTAACATACCTTTACAGCCAAATTTACAACTTTTCCTCCATGTTCATAAGCAATTGGGGGAGTATCAGACCAGCCTTATAACATACATATTGATGATCGATCAGATGGAGTGTTGTACGCTGCAAACTTGGACACTATCGTTATTACCTCCAGCCAAGTCTATTCTAACTGGCGCTGTGACGACCACCCAAACGTTCATAGGAGGTGGATCATAATTTTTATATATCGAATAGGAGGAAATAGGATGAAGCATTATAATGAGGCAGAGAAGTGTTCAAAACTAGATACAGTCCTGAATTTTAGGGTCCTGATATTGATAAGCGCCACAATTAATTTTAGTAACCAAAATAATACATAATAGCAAAAAGCAGTAAGATAATATCATAATAATAGTAAAAAATTTAAGTTTTCACATTGAAAAAAAAATATGTAAATAACCGCAAGATGTTACTGAAAGTATTAAATAATGCTCGACTTTCGATATTATTCGAAGAATCCGATGCTTTAAACTGTTAAATATTAACATTTTCATAGTTACAATCAACTCACCAAGATTATTATGTTGCAAATGTTTTGCCGCATTTGCTATCTTCCAAAGCATCGTTTACTTTCACCAAGGATTCAGACACTTCTCTGCTCCTCACTCACAACTTGATTATTTATACGTTTGCTCCAGTAAAGGCAACACGCTTTTTGAATGTTCGTGGCCACTTCTATCCTTCCTGTATAACAAGAAGATAGAGGATCAGATCTAAGACGATGAAATTGCAGCAAACGATATTGGAATGCTGCCCAAGAAGTCAAAGCA